CCCGGTGTAAATAACACCGGAAATAATAAATAATAATACACACAATAATAAATAATTGACTTAATATTTATTAAGAAACAAAAACTGGTTATACTACTGTATTATAACGTAAGAAACCTATTACATGACAGATTTTGCTCACCTTTTTGATGGTCTTACGTTTTGACCCAATCTCTGAAAAAGAAACAAGTATGTATTATTGCCTTGTTAACATGTCTATATTTAGAAAGTTTACCCACAATTTAGAAAGAAATGGGTAAATAAATAAACAATAAAAATGACACATTTTTCATTTTATATATATATATATATATATATATATATATATATATATATATATATATTGGTTTTAAGAGGTACTATTTTTAAAGATTGAATATGCATGCTTATATATCTGCTACTAAAGGGTTAATTAGAAGAATAAATTAAATTTGTCTCAGACCCACTGGACCGTGATTTTATCCCTCGTTACCCTTAGATCTGCATAAGATTATTTTAATGACACTCACCTCCTTTATATTGATCTTTTATAATATTAAAAGTAAATCTGCTATTTTTACCACGTTTCTATATTTCTTAACACTAAAATTAATAAAGAAACAATAGCTAAACGAAATTTAAATGCTCATGTTTATTTCCTTTCACTACAGCTACCTTTACTTACTGATACTTAATACTTGCAATATGGTGACGACTGATATAATTAAAATTTATATTTTGAATAATAAATATTAAACAAGTGTATTCCCTAAGGCATGTCTGTCTCAGCGTCTCTGATAATTTAATAACTTAAAAAAATAGTAACTATTTTTGGCGTCAAACATTTTTTTTTTCATTTTTACAATTAGCATTTTTACGATCATGGCTGCCAGTGTCATATACAAGAGGTTCATAACTCGAAAAATATTATTTTTTTATAAGAAATATTTAACGCATGTCACAATCATAAGGAACAATTACGCATTGACTAATCGCATATTTATGTATAATCAATCTACAGTTCTTCAATTAAAAGTAAATGTTCACTTTTCCCGCCATATTTCACTTAGATTTACCAAATATTTTAATACCGAGTAAATAACTACTACCTCATTTAATAATCGGCACATCGCTTATATTGATTATACTTAAAAGAAATCTATGCAACCATCTAAAATTCATAATATAACTAATAAACTAATATTTATAGTACTGTTAGGTATTTTACAATATCGATAAATATTATAAAAAAACATTTATATATATATATATCCATAGATATAATATCTATTGTTGAGGTTTTATTTGATACATTTAAAAATAGAACTTATTTATTTTTCTTGTTATATCAATGTGTATTTTGTTTTATTAGAGAAACGTCATTACCTTTTAAAACATCTATTTTTGTACTAGGGAACAATATTATATATCTTTATTCAGTATCTCATATTTTTATTGTTTTATCCAACGAACCCTTCACATACTGGCGACCGTGACAGGACTCGAACCTGCAATCATCGCAAGGGGGGAGTATGTTGAGGTTTTATTTAAGTTATTTTTAAAGATAGAATTTATTTATTTTTCTTGTTATGTCAATTGAGTATTTTGTTTATTAGAGAAACGTCATTACCTTTTAAAACATCTATTTTTGTACTAGGGAACAATATTATATATCTTTATTCAGTATCTCATATTTTTATTGTTTTATCCAACGAACCCTTCACATACTGGTGACCGTGCAGATAAATATGGATAGAGCAAAGGCAGAGAGAACATTAGCTCGTCGCAAATTTACATTATGTGCTCAAAAACTGGAAAAGCTTTTGGATAGTTGCGACGAATTTATTCCAGCCGAGTTTGAAAAACTGAATAAGTTGTTTGAAGACCTCACTCTAGTACAAAATAAAGTTGTAAGTATTTGGCTCGACGATGACAGTCGTGATGAAGAGACATTCGACAAAGATATTGTAGAAGCGGATGTCTACGAATCACGTTATTATATGTTGAAACAAAAGGCAAGTAAAACTTTTATTTCTTCTGCAAAATCTACTGTTAAAGAAATGGAGGCAGAGCAGTTGTCGTTGAGAACCAATGGTAACCGACACTTTAAACTACCCAGGTTGGAGTTACCCAGATATAATGGTGAGATAAAAACGTGGTTAAAATTCTGGTCTCAGTTCAAAAAGATACATATGGATGACCAGATTGATGATGATGACAAATTTCACTATCTGCTCCAATGCATGGAAGTAGGGTCGGTAGCTAGAGAATTTTTAGAAAGTTTCCCACCATCAGGTGAGAATTATAGTATTGCTATAGAGCAACTTAAATATCGATTTGCAAAAGACGAAATGATAATAGAATACTATGTGAGGCAATTACTCAATCTTGTTCTGGCGCAAGCTAAAGGTGTACAGAAGGGATCAATTCGTAGATTATATGATTCTCTGACGACACAAATATTAGCACTAGAATCTATGGGAGTAACCCAAGAAAAATATTCCGCATTTTTATTGCCGTTAGTAGAATCTGCTTTACCAGAAGAGACGTTGAAGGCGTGGAACAGATCTCAGGCAAATGATAGAGGTAATGAAAAATTTAGTCCATTATCTAGACTATTGAATTTTGTCAAGTCGGAAGTCGAGTCAGAAGAAAGAATACGTTTATCTCGCTTCAAAGGTATAGATAACTATTGTAGACAAGATTTTAATATATCTTCTGCTGCATGTTTAAACACGACGCATAATAAAGATACTAAGAAAAGATTAGGTGAAGGTAACCAATACGATCGTAAGGAAAAAACTTGTATTTGGTGCGATAGACTGTCACATACTAGCTCAGAATGTGCTAGTGCAATTGGTAAAAATTTAGAAGAGCGAAAAGAATTTTTAAAATCGAAGAATGCTTGTTATATATGTCTTAACATTGGACATTCTGCCAAGCGATGTAGGAAGTATCCTAAATGTGTTATCTGCACCAAAAGACATTTTCCATTAATGTGCAATGATATAAAAAAGTCGATTGCAGGCACTACCATTGCTAGTACGTCACAAGAATCTCAGTCGGTACTAAATCAGAGTGATCTTTCAAATAATAAAACAGTTTTATTACAAACTCTGAGAGTAAAAATCTGCAATGGAGATGAGAATATCACAGTAAGAGTTCTTCTGGATAGTGGTGCCCAACAAACATTTGTTACTAAAGATGTTGCTTCTAGACTGAAATTAAAAGCATGTGGTATGAAAGAAATGAGTCAAAATTTGTTTGGTGGAGCTACGACACAAAAAAAAATGTACAGAATTTATAATTTAAATGTCAGAAGTTTAGATGACACATATGAATGTTATGTTAGAGCATATGAACAAAATACGATATGTAGTGATATACCCCGTATTAAAAAGGGTAGTAATATTTTGTCTATATTAAATGATAAAGGTGTTGTTGTTACAGATTCTATAGATGATGTTTCTAAAATAGATTTACTAATTGGTTCTGATTTTCTAGGTACCCTGTTAACTGGACGATCAGTACGTGTAGATGACTATCTTTTTGCAACAGAAACTAAACTTGGTTGGACTGTACAAGGGCCCGCGGTTGGTGTGTATTGCTCTTTAGAATCTGTAAGTGTTCTGACTTGTTCATATAGTGTAGAAGACTTTTGGAATTTAGAAACGTTAGACATAAAAAATAACGCACAAGAGAAAAGTCTCATCAAACGCGAAGAAGAGATAGATAATTTTTTCAAGAATACTATACAAATTAATGAGGATTTCCTTCTAGCTTTAAGAAAGTTTTTAGTTAGAAGAGGTGCAGTTAAGTTAATTTATAGTGATAATGGGACAAACTTTAGAGGTGCTACACATATTATAAATGAGATTAATTGGCAAGAGGTTTCTTCTCAGACCCTCACTCAGAAAATCGAATGGCGTTTCATGCCACCTTCTGCGCCGTGGTGGGGAGGGTTTTGGGAGAGAATGGTGAGGACTCTCAAAGACATTTTATGCAGAATACTTGGGAAAGCATCACAAAGTTATTGTGAACTCAATACAATCTTATGTGAGATAGAAAATATAATCAATTCGAAGAAATTGACATATATAGCGAAAAGTTCAGAAAGTTTAATAACCTTGCCACCCGCAACGTTCCTAAAAGTCGATGAAAATGAAAATGAAAATAACCTAAGTCAGTTGAATGGCAATATCTTAGCATCTCGGTGGCGATATATAAAAAAATTAAGTGGCGATTTAAAACAGCGTTTTGGAAATGAATATTTATCACTCTGATTCAAAGGGGATGTAAAGATAAGAATCACACATATAAAATTGGAGATGTTATTTTGGTCGGATGTGATAATATTAAATGTTTGTATTGGTCATTAGGAGTAATTTTAGAGATATATCCAGGTATTGATGGATGTCTTCAAGTTGCTAAAGTAAAAACTGCTAAGGGTGAGTGTATAAGGCCTATACAGTGGTTGTATGCGTTAAAGGTTGAATCAGGCGAATTTGCAGAAATTAAGAGCAATACACACAGTGTCGATCCTATAAGTAAAATTTTTGAGCCATTGCCTCGTGTCATACGCACTGGTCGTTTGGTCAAAATACCTAACCGTCTAGATTTGTATTGTTGTAAGAATTGTAATTTTATATGATATGTAGTTTTTTGTCTGTCTGTCTGTTTTGCGATATTATCGCAAGGGGGGAGTATGTTGAGGTTTTATTTGATACATTTAAAAATAGAACTTATTTATTTTTCTTGTTATATCAATGTGTATTTTGTTTTATTAGAGAAACGTCATTACCTTTTAAAACATCTATTTTTGTACTAGGGAACAATATTATATATCTTTATTCAGTATCTCATATTTTTATTGTTTTATCCAACGAACCCTTCACAATCTATGGACCTATAATGTAGTACTTAGTTACTTTGTAGTCTAAAATTTTCAAATTCAATTTCAAATGAACTGGTTACATAGATTTTACACAAATGCTTTATTAAAAAAGTAACACGTGGCCTAAATTTAATGTCATTCAATGTGTGGTTAAACGATTATTTAATCTTTTATTATCTGAATCCTGCAATAGTTATTTATTTTATTTGAAAAATCTAAGTAAAAATATATTAATTAATTTAATATATTTTTCCTGTAACCCAGATCGAAAATTGGTTCTACTATGTTTTCTCCGGAAGAGCAACAAATTGAAATATGTTTATTGAAATCGAATTTAGAAAAAATTGAAGATGATATAGTTGTACAAGTAAGTTAAAGAATCATATCCTTAAATATATTTTTTATGACTAATATAAAAGAAATTTACTTATTATGAATTTTCTAGAATTCTGCATTGCCGGAATTGGACGCAGAAAATGAACAAAAATATCGCGATACAATGACCGCGTTGCGAATAGCACGCTCTTTAAACTCTGAATCGGAAAGGCTGAATCAAAAAAACGGTATGTATATGCATATAATCACGTATTTTTCTAAGGAATTTACATATTCAATTACATCTATTTTCACCTAATAACAAAAAACGGGCAAAAGGGAATTATTAACGAACGAAGCACTTAATTAATAAGTTTAAATATTTTTTTAATAAATATTATGAACACAAATCGTATGTCTACCTACTTATTCTCGACTACAAGATATACTATGTAATAAAATAATTTAGCATACCCTCAAAGTATACTTATCCTATCACTCACAACCGATCCTCTCCAGGGGTGAAAGGGATTGTTAGTAATGGAGATTGAGAATCCCATTGCTAGCAATATGTCTAACCAGGTCGACCTCCACGCGGTTCTCCCTGGAAACTATCATGGTTATTTCTTGATGAATTCATCATGATAGGCTAATTGGCCTGTTTTCATTTTCATCGACCACCCTTCACTGGTGCCCCGTCGGCGTAAACGCTACCATTCCATTTTCACCTATTAAAAAAAAACCGACCCTCCCCAGCTTTGCACGGTTTTTTAAAATAAAATACAGTCCATGTTTTTCACTTATTATAATACAGGTTTCTAAAGATGAAGGAGTTTTAAAAATCGGCTAAGTTATATTCGAGTTTGTTCTTTACATACAAAAAATTTAATCTTTCTTCTTTTTAATATGTTTTAATAGGTGTAAATGAAATTTAAATTCCACTTGCGCTATTAGTATATGCTAGCAAATGATGATAGGTGAAAAAAAAGTTAGGGCAGATAGCCCATTGTAATAAATTCACTTAAATTAACCACGTTGATTACCAGGGGAGACCGCGTGAAGGTCGACCTGATAGGGTATTTTGCTAGCAATAAGAACCAACCTCCTTATTACCAACAATGCCTTTCCCGCTATAATATTAGCATAGATGCAATTATAAATGCACATATTATTAGAGAGCACTTTACCTTAGGAACAGATATTTACTTTGTAACTTAGCGTTGTAAGCAACTAACTAGTTCCAGTTCAGTAGCTAAACGAAATATTATTCAAATTGTATTATATTAATATACAGCTCATATACTCTACTGGATATATACTTCAATAATGGCTAATCACTTGGAAAATAGGGAATCAAAATATACTCGTACGTTAGAAGTTAGCTAACTGTAATAAAAAGGATTAGCGTTTTCTATTAATGTACTGGTAGTACACAATTTTGCAGTTGGTACTCATATATTTGCTAAACATATTGACACCTAAACACCAGGTGATCTTTTCAATGTTACTTTATTATGTTACTAGCTATCACTATAAATAATAAACTCCACATAGTGTTATTTACAAAATTAATAATGACAAACAAACTGATGGCCCATTTAATTAAAAGACCTGCCACAATTTTTTTCCAATTTAAAACCGAATTTTCCGTATCACTACTTTTCCGTATTTTTTATAATTTCGTATAATTTATATATTTTTATGTATTTCGAAATATTTTTTTAAGGACTTGTAGGCTACCAACTTCTTTCAATCCTACATAGTTACAGAAAAAGAAATAGTGACGTTCTTTACAATCTTCTTGTCTTAGCAATTTTACGGAACTATATTTTGTATCGCGACTTATTATATCTGAATTTATTTACTGTAAATATTATTCATTATACAATCTCGTACTAAATCTTTCTTTCTTTCACTCCTTCTAAATTTATATATAAATATCATCAAGTCCACGTCTACACACCTCTACAGACTTAAGTAAAATTTCTTTATGAAATTAGATATAATTTAAATCCATTGTATTTTTACACAGTGAAATTAACAGCGAGGCGTATGCAGCTTAAACGACAATGTGACGACATAACTACAGCGCTGGAAACAGCGAGAGGAAAGCGCAGCGATCTCGTTGATTTATTGAAACGCGAGGAACAAGAAATGGAATTGCAAATGTGTGTTTTAAGAAAATTATCTTAGTGTAACTTAAATACGTCTGTCCACGTAATTTTATCTACATGGATTATTTTTGCAATTAGGCGTTTGGGAGCACTTTTAATGATGACGTTAAAATTTATTAAATACTAAAATTTTTAAATCGTTACTGCGAAGAATCATAGCAACATTTTCAGTACTCATAAATACTATGAAAGAAATTTCATTATCATATCAGCCATTATCTGACCACTGCTGAACATAGAACTTCCCCATAATAGGGATTTTACCAGTAGTTGTCACGCATGGCAAGCGCGTTAGCAACCAGTTAGGTGATGTTTTAAGAGGGACGCTCCTGCCCATGACTCGACCATTAAGTTCTCTTAGTCGCCTCTTACGACACAAGTTGTTTAAGTAACAAGAGGTAATAAACAAAAAACAAACTCACTTTCACATGTACAATATACTAAGGATGGCAACATTGTAAGAAGAAATCATACTTACGGTCTGCCTGATACTAAATGGTCACCGCAAACCATGAACACTTGCATTAGCAGTTCACTAACGTGTAGCTAAACCTTGTATATAACAAGGGTCAATACTACTGTAATTTATAAGGATTACAAAATTATTAAAAAGAAATTCTCTTTTCGCATTATTGTCGATTCTCGCAATGTTGAAGACATTTATTTTAATAAAAAGCAAATTTAATATATACATATAAAATGTAATATAGATTGAAGTTACTTTTTAGTGTTATGAAATCTAATTATTTCAATTTTCTAACATAAACTTACAAATCCTACCGTCTCGTAGTCGTACCGCGTTTTATTAAATTATTAGTGGCGGTTGCTGTTTAAAGAAAAAATAGCTACTGCTATAGAATTTCATTATCTTTATATTTTAAACAATGTTATAAAATTTCAAGAATATACAAAGTAACATCTTGAGAATTTTAGACTTGTATATTTAATAAATATATCTCTCTTTATAAGCAATAGGAACAAGAACAAATGCTTTATTTAAACACTGTTTAGGAAACTTCACTGCTTTATCAAATATTACATGGTCTATCTAATCATTATTTAATCATTATATTAGTTTAAGCGTCCTACAATATTATATAGGTTTCAGTAATATTTTTCCTACATGCTCGGACTAATAATGAATGTCACGTTTTTACATATATATTAATGTTAACTTAGATGACAATTGCTAGGAATGATAGAATTCACATTTTATTATAATTTATTTTCAAAAACTTGATAAATTATATATGTAAAAAGTAGATATAAAATAGAATCAGTAAAAAACAGGGGTAAAAAGAAACCAACAATTCTTCTTTTTTTTTTAACAATAGTCTGCTTTATTTCAATAATAGTTGAATTAATTAAATGTTTCGCTTTATTATTAGGTAGCTGACCCGTGCCCACTTCACTAGTCGTCGTACATTTTTTCTTTTTTTTTTTATGCAACTTAGAATAGCAAAGAAACTGACGGCCCACCTGATGAAAAATGGTAACCGTCGCCTACAGACATGATCAGTACCATGGACATAACAGAATATACTGTTTCGCCCATGATACCCCCCCCCCCCCATGCGTTGCCATTCCTGAGGACTCGGGTGATATTCCTCCGTACCCTGTAAATTCACGCCATATCCCACCTTTCAAACCGAAACACAGCCATGCAAACACAACTGCTTCACGGTAGAAACACGAATGGAACAGAGGTACCCAAACAATCGACTTTTGTACAGTCTCCCTCTGGTTTATTTACTTATAATAGAACTATCTTGTATGGTTTTTAGTACGCAGTATTTAGGATTTAGTAAATGTTTATTTTATTTCTTGTTCGCTGCTAATATCTATTGACTGTATATATTAATTGTTTAGATTTCTTAGTATATTATGTTTGTTGTTTTGCTATTGTTTGGTAGCATAATTTATTGGTTTTCTGGAATTCTGAATTAACCCATGAGAATGTTTAGCACTACATATCTGTATTTTATACACATATATAGAGATTTCCTGTTATCTTTAAAACATAGATATAGTGTCGCCTATTTTTGTATAGACGTACTAAAGAAAAATATTTTTGGTGAATATTATATTCACTCAAGTATAATGTAGCATTCTACTGGTAAAATATTTTTTAACATTGGTTCAGTAGTTCTAGAGATTACTTTCTATAAATAAACTTTCTAATATTAGTGTAACAAAACTAGGTTATTTTTTCAATAAGTTCTATAATAAAACGCATTATTTTCTTTTGGAATATTTTCAAAGTAGATTTAGGATATTTATAATGCCAAAGATAAATACAAACCCACAGACGAAGATTTCAAATGCATGCATTTTATGTTTTGTTCGTTTTTGTGTAGGTAGATTCAAGAAACATTTAAATGTGATGATTGCATTTCCAATGAAAAAGTATATACTTTGTAATTCATAACCCAATTTCCTCGGTAGAATTGTTGATATAAGAACCTATATATTTTCCTCTGTAATCTTCTTACATTTATCATATAATTATAATAATTTAAAATACACCTATATCTATTATATCTTTCAGATGCAATTACGAGGATTCACTACGTGCAATGGCAAATAGATTCAGAACAACTTCTAATTATTATGTAAGTCAAATTTTACTATATTTATTTATGGAATCTCTTAATAAATCTATCTGTACATAAAAATAGAATAATAATTTGAAAATGATAAGATGAAATTTCAAATGGTAGGATGAAAAATGATACCTTCCGGTATGATACAGCTCGATCCGACAATAAATAATAACGATAAATAATCACTATGCGCACTTTGTCACATAAAAATAATAAAAGCAACATTTATATATAATAGCGTAAGTACATCAAATAGCGAATTTTATTACATTTAATGAATAATAAAGGCCATTTGAGACCCATTGGTCTCAAGTGGCATTTATTCATGATTATTTCCAACGTTCTTTTACTTTACCTTCTCAAAAATAACCGTTATCTTGGAATTTCAAGGTTTAAATTCCAAGGATTTTTTTACTTATTTAATGTCAGGCAATATACAAGTTCATAATAAAAATATTTTAGTTAATATAAGATAATAAAATTGCATTTCAAGGTACAAATTTAAAAATAATTAAATGGCGACATCTGTAGCGCATTGTTTTGTGCAAATAATGTCCCGGATTCAATTTCATTTCAGTCAATTTTAGAGATAAATTTTGCAATTTGGCTTAGCTTTATGCAGGCAGGCATATAGTTATTTTATCAGCGTTATTTATAGAACATATTTTTAAAAACCTTTCTTCGAGGATGAAAACTTACGTAATTACTATTATGTACAAACATATTATATATTTTAAAATTGATATTATATTCATGTTTCATATACTCTCAGTTACTCGAAACAAAGCAAAAAAAAGCTACGTTATCTATGACAGTAAATTTATGAACATTTTTATATTTTTTTTTTTAGTTTAGGTAGTAATAAGTAAACATTATTTAATTATAATTATAAATTTTGGAGATACCTTTATTATTTGGAAGTTAAACCGAACATTTTATTTTATTAGAATGAAATAGAAACAAAAAATAAGATGAACGAAGTCGAAGATGAAATTACAGAGTTGGAAAACGAAATAAAGAACCGTCAACTTGTGGCTGAAGAATTAAGAAACCAGCTCGAATCTTTGCGTTCTGACGTTCCGGAAAATATACTTGAAATAATGTAAATATATGACCAATATATTTACTACTAATATGTTCTAATTATATTCAAAAGATGTTAATAATGATATAATATATCTTCAAAATGTATACCTAGTTAATTAAATTATTTATCTTTATAATTTATGAGTTGAGTCAGATTAATGAAATTTACATAAAAATATGTATAGAATGATAATAACTAAATTTCATTTCATATATCAAATAAAACAAATATTAAAAACTAAAAGTAAAGAATACATTTATAATAATTTGTATAGAACTTTCTGAAATTTGTGCAACTCTACATACCAACTCGTGTTATAAAGTTAGTGAACGTTAAGAAAGGATTGCCGTGTGGTCTCAGTATAGAATAAGCCACCCTTTCTTTTTCCGTGGGTATCGAAGGAGGCGACTAAGGGAGGGCGAAAGATAGAAAGCGGCGTCCCTCTCAAAACATGTCCAAAGCCTAACTATGGTTGCCAATCCGCCTGCCAAGCATGGCAATTACTGGCAAAACCCCGCAAGCGGAAGGCTTATGTTCAGCAGTAAACAGTTAAAAGTTGATATGATGATTAAGAAAGCATTTTACAAAATTCCTACGGTAAAGTGGTATAAGCCATTCTGTGTGCAGATAGTGCACGATTAATGTAAGGCCAATGTTAAAGATTTACATATTTATGATACTAAGGAAATGTTTACATGATAAACAAGAATCTATTCTCCTCTATAAATTTGATGGGGATCATTTACATTGTATTGTAATAAATAGTTATGTACAGATCATGGAAATTAAAAATTTGGCAGATTACCTTCTTCTCCTTTGCTACGTTTTCTTTTATTAATAAATTTAATTCATACTTCTTTTTTTTTCAGTGGGAAAACGGAACTAGAAGAAAAGTTGAATAATGTTATGAAGAAATTGGAAACCCTAACTGTACAACGTACTCGCTTACACAATTCTCTTGAAACTGGCTGTCATGAATCATAATGGAAACATAATGAACTGATACGATTATTTTTTTAATTATTCAATTGAGATTTTCTTCATTTCATTTGACAAATTTCAATAAAAATTAAACTTAAAACGTATTTTTAATACATAATTATTACATGGAATTAGAATCTTTTATTCGACTCCTCATTAGACTACTTTTATTCACTCTTGAATATATGCCTCAGTCAATACCTTCCAACAAGATCATTGTGATCTCCAGCTTTTTTTAATCTACATAATTTGATACTATCTCTTGCCTATTGTACGTCACCTATTGAGAAATTCTTCTATAAAACTAAGAATCGTATAAGCACATCGATGAGCCATTTTTTCGGATTCAACAGCAAAAAAGGTACAAATGATTCCTTACGACTTTTTCCATCCGTCCGTCCATCCATCTCTCACAGTGCTATATTTTATCAATTCTTGCTATCGACATAAAATTTGGAATGGTTATAGATATTGATCCACATATATTAGGTACAAAAGATTTTTTTTATTTTTTCAACTTTAACTGTGTTAATAAAAATTATACTATCTGTTAAAAATTGGTTAACATCATCTATATTCATGGTATCCTATATGAATAGGTGTATTCATTATTCTAAAAATGTTGTCTAAGAAACATCACTATTATTATATAACTCTGTCGTACGTATCGTTATCTGTTCACTGCTGAACAAAATCCTCCCCCGGGAAGTTTGCTCGTAGTAGTCACGTTTGGCAAGCGGGTTGACAACCGCAGTTAGAATTTGATCATGTATTAAGAATTACGCTGCCGCCCATCTCTGAACATTAAGTTCCCTTAGTCGCCTCTTACGACAGCCATCCAAGAAACAGCCTAATTACGTGTAAAACAATGAACGTACGAAATGAAAAAAATATCTACTAAATAATATATTTGTATGGAATATTACTAAGGAGAGACTTTCTACAAAAGTCGTTTGCTTGGGTCCCATTCGTGTTTCTGCTGTGAAATAGTTGTTTTTGTATGAATGTGTTTTGGTTTTACAGATGTGTATGTGTGATATGACAGTGAATTTACAGAGTACAGAGGTATAACGCCTTAGTCCTCAGGAATAGCAACGCATTCTGTTTCGCCCTTGATACCCCATCATGGGCGAAACAGTATACTCTGATATGTCCATGGGACTGTACTTGTCTATAGGCGATAGTTACCACTTTCTATCAAGTAGGCCGTCAGCTTCTTTGTCATTCTAAATTGCATAAAAAAAAATCCAAAATCATTTTCATATTTCAAGTATTTTACTCTTATTTCTTATGAAAAATTGATCGGTTTTTAAATTGATGTACCTATTTTGGATCGAATAAGTATACTTCATAAATGTCTAAAAATATAATACAGTATTTATTATATTATGAATAAACGCTGTAATAAAAAGAAACAAACCAAGTGCAAAATTTGATAATAAAACAGCTAGAACACACATGTAAAACGATATTGTAAATCAGAGAGACACAAAAATGTTACGACAGTAATACAATGATTCAGAATTACCTACACCGAGATTTACAAGGATAACAGGGATTTGTATGAAAAATACAAGTAAAACGTTGTAAATGTTGTCGACTCCATTTCATTGCCGAAGCTTGTCAATTAAATAATCTGTACTAATACGAGTATTACAAAGAGAAAAGATTTGATTGTTTGTTTGTAATGGATAATCTCAAAAACGATGTCAAAATTCTTTCGCATATAAAAAACTATATTATAAGCGAGTAGGTAACACAGACTATATATTATTTTAAAATTCTATCTGCATGCGAAACCGGGCAGGATCGATAGTTCCCTTATATTCTAATAATTATATTTTACTCATCATCATCATCATCATCATCACAGCTATTACTTAGATTCTAACATATTTTATTGTGAAATACAATAGTAATAAAAAAAACAAAATCGACTTTTTATCGATATTTAAACTATTGAACGAAAATTTTAAAATACACATTCTTATGAAAATTAAAAACAAATCTGAAAAAATATAGACAAAAATATTTTTTCAATGAAACTCTTATCAAAAAATATAAATTTAATCTCCGATTTCAGTCACAAAGAACATTGCAACTTTAATATTAAATATAACTAGAAGGTACTCCTTTCGTACTTGACGTCAGATTGTAAATATCATTGATCCTTCTTTCCCTCTTCTGTGTATTATATAGATATCCGTAAATTTATGTTTTTGACCTAGAATCTAGTCACTAATATCAAATCGTTATAAAATTCGGCGAGGGATGAGCAGCAGCGTCCTTCTTAAAACATCTCTAAAGCCTGACCGCGGTTGCCAATCCGCATGCCAAACGTGGCAACTACTAGCAAAACCCCTTATGGGTATATATATATATATATAAGGGGAGTTGATGAATGATTGGTACTAATTGCCATGATTTTGGACATTCCTTATACAGGGTTCAATGATGTAGTTCTATCGACCAGTTGATTTTTAGTAATTGATGAATCTACCAAATTTCTTGGAAGCACAATACGAAAAGTAAATAAAAAATGACTGATCTATTAAGATAATTTTTCATCTTTTCGCAAACAAATGTGAAGTTGTGAACAAAATATCTAACCTTATAAAGTTAGAGTCAACTCGCAATTCATGACAGCATTTCCTTTCTTGGCCGAGGTCCAGTCTCCTTTCAACTGACAAAGCCGGCATCTTTCATAGGAAATGATATATGTATGTCACACGTGAACTGGATATTATTTAGAAGTTTTTCAAGAAACATTTTTATTTCGATAGAGATAATTTTCTATACAGCAATATCTTAGAGCGTCGTGTCCTAGTGATATACTGCTTTGATAGACTACGAAGATTATGAGTTCGTATCTGGCCGGTAGCAAAATCTTTGTGCGATATTTTAAAGCTTTGTGGTAAACGATGATAGAAAATACCAATAACCAAACCAAATTTTCGGTAATAATGTCAATGACCCCCTCCTAGAAAATTCAATAACGAGTTTGTTTTTGAATGAAAGTAAATCATATGTTATTTACTTTTTAACTAAGTCTTAACTAACTTAAATTTTACGAGAGGAGAAGGAATTTGTAATTATTTATTCTTTTAACTTCACTTATCATCCCTCACTGGCGGGCTACCAGTGGGGTATATCGATAGTGCAGCCAGAGTTACTATTCTTTAATCATCCCTTTTGAAACAAACTCAATTTTAACAACGTGATTGATTCCCAAGACCAAATTTTTCATGTATATCTTTTCGTAATATACAACACATGAATGTAAATAGCCCATAGCTTTCCCATTATCTGTTTCCTAATTGTAAGGGTTTAGTGTCAACTTCCGTAAAGATCAAATTAATTAGATATAAAATCCTACCGTCATTATCAATTTTTATATGAAAAGTTGTCAAATGATTTTTTTTTCAAAACTTCTATTATATCATAAACTTTCTTATAAAAATTATTAGTGCATTAATTTTATTTGCAATTACGGGTTTTTTATTTTTCCATGTGGGCAAAGAGCCAACTCTTTACGTTAATGTCTTTTTCAATTAGCAAAACGATATAATATGGAACGATTAACTTAATTTTTATATATTTAGGTGCACATAAAAATAGAAACTGGAAAACAATTAAATAACACAGATAGGAAATTCCAAGATAGACTACATACAAAATCTTGGATCTAAACTAAATCGTTACATACATTATATGTACGTAAAACTAAAAAGAATATGCAAATTGCAGATGGTACATGTAAAATGACGTAAGTATACTTGAATGATAGATATATTATTTATACATACAAACATCCAAATGAAACTGCCAATACATATATAGAATATTATAATTATATGATATATTGGCTAATACAACAAATAGAAATAATATAATTTTTAATGCTTAGATAATTTTGGTTTGTGGGATCGACCATTTTGAATAGCACCTTGAACTACCCCTACAACAGCAGCACCTCTGAAGAAATTATCCTAAAAAAATAAGCAAAATAAAAATAAACGAAAGTCAATAAAAAAAATTTCATCAAATATAAATAAGAATAATTCCAATTAAACCTCTTTTTTAATAAAAAAAAAAGGTTGAAATCTGTTCCACCGCATGGGAGCGGATACCTATTACCATACTTGTATACACAGACATAACACACATCATATTGTGACGAGTGTTAAAAAGAAATCAATAATAATTGTTAAATTATGTTATGAATCACAAATAATATTTAATTATGCCTAGGTAATTAATGTTATTACTTAAACATGTATTTATAATTTTAATAGTCTTGACAAAACCATCTACTACGTTGTGTATCATTTATTTATTTTGACTAAGTAAACAATTATTTGTTACGCACCAAACCACTTTTAATTTTTTTTGACCATGGCTTGGGAGTTGTAGTCGTTACCGTCCCGGTACCGGTTACTTTATTAGGAGAGCTGTCGCACGAAACCCAGAATATCTGGCAACACAGTAATAAAAATGCGAAAAATAAAGTTAATTTCATTTTGAATGTTTCCACACTGCCGTTAACATCAATTGAACGACATATCGAGCAGACGCACGCTTTTATAATATTTACAACTTACAGGAAAACATGTACCTTAAAACATTGACTTACTAGTTCTAGGCTGTTTGAGGAAATACATGAGTAACCGGAGTGGGTATTTACCAGAGTACTGATGATATTGTTTGTTTATTTACTACACATGATTATGAATGAGTATATTATTTAGGTCATTTGTGAACAGAAGTAAAATGCCTCCTGATCTTCAATGAGGTAAATTAAATCTTACGTAAAAAATAATTAAATACATATATTTGAATTACTTTTATTATGTTTAATTGTTGTAACTATGTATGTGATTGATAATAGCCATGTAATATTGTAAACTAATCCACAAGTATCGTACTATGGGGATTAGTAAACCGATAAAGAAACCTGGATTAAACAAAACTGGAGATACCTGTATTATTGAAAAGTCAATTTTCAATTCGTTAGTTAGCGAGTAAGGTAGTTGCTAACAAGCAGGGTGGTTTGGTGACGTTGATATAGAATACTGAATTTGCTTCCTTATATATTGTTTTATTCCATTCGTTTCCATTTGTTCCACATAATTTATATAATATCTACTATTTGTTATATATTAATTTACAAAACTAATAATTATTCCCGTATTAATTTTAAACAAAAAATATTATGTAACATTATAACATACGTATGTTTCTTTAAAAGCCCGTACATTGGTAAGACTTACTTCACCAGGAAATCATAAAATTTACCAACATGAGTAGGTAGATATAAGGATTTTATAAAAAAAAAAATGGTCATCTTTGGGGCTTTCACCAAATCAAATCTACATAACATCATATTTTTTCCGTGATGCTCGCACTCTTGGTCAGAAAGGTAGGTTAGGTTTGATTTAGTAAAAACCCTAAAAATGATCATGTTTTATAAAACTATTTTTTTTTGTCTACTTTTACTATTGGTAAATCCCAAGTTTTACTTAATAATGTACGGGCTACTATACTAATATATACATAAAAAAAATTATATGAATTGAGTCTTTACATTTTCGAAGTTTAGAAACAATGATTTTAAGTTTAGAAAAAAAATTATAAATCCTAAAGAAAATTTTCAACCAATGTTTTAAAAATATTCGTAGATTTTTTTTTTTTACTTTTGTAAGCCTATTCTATGTAATGTATATAAGTGGAAATAGGTAATATTATTTTACACAAAACGGTAAACGGTGACGGGGGGGAAGGGATTGTTAGTAATGGAGACTGAGAATCCCATTACTAGCAATATACCAGCAGCAATAGCCAGGTCGACCTCTTCGCGGTTCTCCCTGGAAACTATCATGGTTAATTTGTTATGAATTCACCATGATGGGCTAACTGACCTGTTTTTATTCTTATCGATCATCCTTCAGTGGTACTCCGCCATATCCCGTTAGCGCAGGCGGGGTTACCATACCATTTCCACCCATCAAAAACAAAATCACCCTGACGGCAAACCTTTTTAATTCAAACTTAATAATTAAATTGTATTCCACAAATTGCGGTATAATTTAAAAACTTAACTACTAAATCGTTTTAGACAAAACTTTTATACAACCAATCTGTAAACATATCCTTTCAAATAAAGAAAGAATCGTCCAAATCGATTTATAATTGACGAAGTTATGACATAAGTAACAAACATAAAAAAATATAAACTAATTGAAAACATTGAACTCGATCTTACATTGACAAAAACATAACACATCTATCTACACAAAAGATAATAGATAAGTACTCGTAGTATTGTATCGTACGCATTGGGTGGATCACATCAAACGGATTAACTTGTAGCAGTGCGTCCACTGTACCCACAGCAATCGGATTGCCGACGCATCTGCCAGTAATCGCATTGCCCACGATACTTTTCGTTGTGAACGAACAAATGAAAGTTGTTTGTAAGATAACGGATTTGGAAAGAAGAAAATAAGTAAACAATATGTTACGATTATTCAAGAAGATTCCCGTGGGTGTCGTAAGAGACGGCATAAGGAGTTTAACGGTCGAGGGAGGGGCAACAGAGTCTTTCTTATAACTTCGCCAAGGCCTAACTATTGTAATTTGCAGTAAAAAACTATTAAAGAAAACACATATGTAAACATAAGAATAGATAGTCTCAAACTGTCTCACTAAATCAATTTGGTTTTTATCTTTTAGATACTTAACCTTAACAATTAGTAGATAATGAAATGACTTATTTAGGTACGTAATTACTTTTTATCGGGTAGAAAATACGCATACTCTTTTAATGAATGTCAGTTCACGTGAAGTGATTTTAATTAAATTAATGACTAATTTTATAGCACGTTTTTTTACGACACATCAAAGAAAATAGAGTGTCTTAATTTTACCTACAATTAAAGTACCTAATAACAAGTTAATCATTATAATAGTTATTAATTGTAATATATAAATTAGTAACAACTCCTTTTATGTCAAATTATGTGTCAAATTTAGATGTATCTAGCTAATATTATAAAAATTGTAATTAGACGATGACTATACATGGAAGATAATTAATAAAAAATAATAAGTAGGAACTTTATTATTGTTTTAGCATTTCTAAGTATCACTACCTATAAATACTAAAACAATAAGTATTAGAAAAAAAAACTACTACTAATTAGATGCGGTTTTTACAGTTGTCTTCCTTAAGATCTAACGTTGCTCAGTCTTCGTCGACACTACTATCCAACTATATTCATTTATGACTTATACTCCACGTACCTATAATTTTTTACAGTTTACTACTTTAATATGAGAGAAAATCTAATGTTTGAGATACAAGTTGCTTTGCAAAGTTGTGACTTATTTTGGACTCCTAATTTCTAACAAGTTACAATATTTTTGTATAAAATTATATACTCTGAAAACTTTGTATTATTTGTAGATATGAAACTTTATTATTATTAAAGTTACGAATAATGTCGATAAACTCTTCATTATTAAGTACATAGAGCAGAAAAATAAATTCAGATAGTAAGTATGTAATACTTAAAAAAAGGTGAGACTTTGATTAGAAGATATACCTATATGAATCACAACTATTGTACCTAAATATAGTGTTCCCTTTGAATTCTACTTATCAAGACAAGACCCTTGTTAAGCAAGGTTAAGCGAATTCCAAGACCCTCTATCCTTCCATAAGCATTTTTGCTTCATTCACTTTCTCAGTTCGTATCATATACGCACGTTAGGTTTTGGAGACTCTTGACTTTTCTTAAATAGATAAAAACTTTATATTGATAACAAACATATTCGCATATGCGTCTTTAAATATAAATTAATATATGATTACCTTATCAAAATCCAACAGCAGTTAAATATTTATTACAAATATTAAATAAACAATAAAAAACATTAAACAATACTATTAAACAATTATATTTATATATAAAAATGAGTAATATAAAACACTATATATAATGTAAGGTGGACAAAACACGTATGAGAAATTGTAATTATATAATCTAGGTAGGATACTTATTTCCCATTTATTTATTTATATTCGAATTCAAATTTAAGTAAATTTGTTTGTTGTTTAACACACATCTGAACATCTATACCAATATCTACTTCTATACAACTAAGTCACATTTCTAATTGTTTACAAATTACTACAGTTTCTCTGATGTTTAATTTATTATAAGTACAAAGGGTTAATTAGGGGCCCTAAAGTTCTCCGTATCCACAAGCCATTTCTAAGAACTGAGGGACTGTTAGCTTAAATCCCTCGCTTTATATAACATGTATAACTTACATACTAGAAGTACAAGTACATATAAACTGCTTTACTGCATACATGCAGAACATTGAATAGAAATTATGCTCTCTTAGATAGATCTAATAAGATAATAAGCATAGAAAAAGAGGTTTTTTATTATTAGATTTAGCATGAAATATAGGATAATTTAAAATACATCACCTTATCATACTAGTAGCCATTAATTGACCATTGCTGAACATGGGCCTTCCCTATAAGTGGGGCTTTGCCAGTAGTTGCTACGCTTGACGATTGGACAACTGCAGTTAGACTTTGGTGATATTTTAAGAGAGACGCTGTTGCTCATCCCTCGAATATTAAGTTCTGTTATTTACCGATTATGACACCAACGGAAAAGGAAAAGGTGACCCATTCTATGCTGGGACCACACGGCAATTAAAATTAATATTATTAAATTAATTCATTTTTCGGATTTAAGGGGTAAACACTAAAAAAATTAAACATATTTAATTTATATTTAAGCTTTTTTATTAATTATAAAATTAATACTTAATATAATTTATAAAACTAAAATGGCACAATTAAAAATATTAATTATATTATAGTAATATAATTAAAATTAATTATTATTATTAAATATATTATTGAACAATTTTTTATTAAATACTCAATGGTTTTTCTTCTTTTTCGGTTTGAACTGGCTAATTATGTCATGTGCAGTACTCGCTATATTGATTCCACGCAGAGCTTTACCCTGAAATTGAAAAAAAAAAAAAATATTTATTAGATTGTTAACTGAACAAATACATTTCTGTTTCCTATTGGCTAAATAAGACTAACACTGAAATAGTATCATTAAGTAGTGAAATAATTATCTTTCGAATGTACCTATTTTAATAAAGGTCATTAACATCGTAATTTAAAATATGATAAAGAGCAATATATTCTGATTGCTGTATTTATTCCCATTCGTCTTGTAGTAATATAAGAATATGGACTAGAATTGATTAAGAACTCAGATTATTTATTTTTATAATGGTGTCCACTTAAATAACAGCTTTAAAATTATGCACATTAAGAAAACTAAAATTATCTAAACACTTACAACATATTTATTTATTAAGTAAACAGTAGAAGGTATTTTTGTGTGTATGTATATGTTATGCTTAACATCCTTACCAATTCTAAACTTTTCAAAATTCAATTTGTAATTTTACTTGGCAATTGTTTTGATCTCATACTCATTGTTTTTAATGATTGAAGTCAGGTTTTTGGAACAAAATCTTGAGACTCAAATAATACAAAATTTATATAATAAGGACAAATCTCAAAGGACTCAAAGCAAAAGTTTAAAACACGTTACTCAACGCGGGGCAGTTAAATTATTTTAAATATTAGGTATACTTGTTATAAATAGTTAGCGCCGTCTTCTTTAAAATTGTATTCGAAAATTTCTTTGGATTTAAACTTATTTTATTCCATTTCCATCCATTTTACATAATACTAGAATATATATTATTTATATTTGTATTTATTACAAAGTACAATAAATAATAATTAAATCTTTGAGACTGGTATAAATTTAATTGAAAAATAATAATACAAAATTTCAAGCTTAATTTCTTAGCACTGTATCACTTTACAATAATACACATATATACTCTACATATATTAGTATTCATAAGTAAATTTCTAATAATATTTATATTATAAATTTATATTAATATTTGTAAAGTATTTAAATATTATAGACATGTTCTATTTATTTTGTAACTAGATGGTGGTATATAATAATATAATATGATAAGTAATAATTCGTTTAAAAAAAATTAAAATAATATACATACAATAATTTGCCCTCCTTTTTTAATCGCTTTCACAGGAATTTTTCCAGGCACCGCATCTCCACTGCTCACAAACATAGCCATCACCATCATCACAACGACAAATATTATGGACAATCTCATTTTGTTCCTTTCAGACACAGCACAATGAATTAATTAGGCTTTGATCTTTAAAAAATAACGCTTGGTTCTTCCACTTGACTGTTCTGCAAAGAGAACAGCCAAACATTATATACTATGGAGGTACAAAAATGATAATGTCATCGGGACTCTACCGTTCCCTTATTTTACGTGAAGAAATATTAACGAGAAAATTATGGCTGTTGTTTATTTTGTGTGAGTATATTATGATAACCCTGTGAGGTCAATCCAAATAAGTTATGTGAGTGATATCTACTTGTCGGGTATAAACCTAAGCCCAAATTTGTACTGAGGCATGCATTTAGTTACATCAATTATAATTATTCACACGTGCATGCTACTGGTGAAGTGTATCCGTTAAGTGGTATCCGAAAATACATCACGTTTTGAATTGTTTATTTCATTTACTTGTTATCAAGTTATCGAAAGAGAATATCCGGCTTCTCATAGATAACATATTTACAAATGGATTCATACGGCTCTAGTCTTGATAGCACCATAGCACAGGAAAATTAACTATAATAACCTATATGGAAATAAGACAAATTTGTAAGTATTAAATATCTTACTATTATAATAAAATTATAACTAGATAATGATAAATTGATATAAGAAGGCAGCATTACAGCAATATAAGGCAAATATTTTTATACTACTGAGGTGGCAAACAAGCATATGGCCCACCTGATGGTACCCACCGTAATCTATGAACGCCTGCAATCCCAGAGGTATTACGCGCGCATTGCCGACCCTAAAGAAACCTCTTTACCTCCTCTTTACGTAAAACGATTAAATGTCTACTATAGTATTCAGATATTTTATTCAAATCTATCCAAACATTTAAAAGTTATTAAATAATAAATATTCAAATACCTTTGCAAAATTTTATATGCATTATTAAGATAAATAATTAACGTCTATAAGCGACGGTTACCACTTTCCATCAGGTGAGCCGTCAGCTTGTTTGCCTTTCTAAGTAGTATAAAAAAAAAAGTAAGTACGTAAAATAACAAAAAAATATTAAAAAAAAAACTCTTCATTGTACTCATTTAACTATCATTAAAATATATTAAAGAAATAAATAAAATTTTCTCTCAAGTTAACAATCATATATATTTTTCTTCGAATGTCAAATATTAATTTATTGAAGTAATTTATCACTAACTAACTTAATTGCTAATAATATTCCTATTAAGGATCTCCAAACGATGCTCATGTTTGGTTTCCATTTTATAATTTTAAATAAAATATAAAAATCCATATATAATAACTAAACCGGAGCCAGTTTAGAATGGTTCATTTCCTAAATTGGTTCAAGATACGCTACGAAGGTCGATAAAATAAGATAAATTAGAGTTGTTTTAATTAAATAATTTTAATTCTGAAAAAACTTTTTTGCACGGTATCTCTTTTAGAGATAAGTTCGGCTTTGCTAACATTGTTAATAACTTCTTGTTATTACTGTATGTTTTAGTGTAATAAAGAATATATTATTTTTGTATTTGACATACAGAAAAGTAGATATATATATTAACATAAACAAAAAAGTAGAAAAAGAATATGTAGCTGGTCACATTAAATGACCGATGTGAACAATGCGCGTTTACCTACCGCTATTAAACAGCTAAATAAAAAGCGAGTAGTCCCGTCACCGAGTACGAAAAATTGCATGTCAGACCTACCCACGCGTAATTGTGAATACTCCGATAATTTAAGATCATCTGTTCCACAAATATATAAAACTTTTTTGTAAACTTTTTCTTTCGGCATACCCAAAATAAAATAGAGAGAAGCATTGATGTCAGAGAGTAGTACGATATAATATGTCCTTTAGATAAAGTGAGTTCCGCGAATGCTTTCACTTGATTCTAGCCCATAATGTATACAGAATGTATCTGACGGTAAGACTATGTATAACAATCCAATTTCCAGTAATAAATAATCTTTATGAAATTGAACAACTTTTTTCCAAGAAAAATCTAATACAAAGCAAATGATCCATCATTTATTTATATAATATTGCGTAGTAAAGAACGTGATGTTTAATATTAAACTATTCTCGTACCTTTATATTTCGGCACATATGCGTTTGAGAAAATTGTTCAGTTTCATGCAATGCATATTATCGTTTTATGTAGAGACATTTTTTCTTCTATCTTAGAAAAATAATGTACAATAAAGCTTACGACCGGTTCTGGCTTTGCATGAGCGCAAGATCTCAAGAACTGCTCAACTTATAGAGATATTTAAAATTTTGTTCCACAAAAAAAAAAACTACTTCAATAGTAATAAAACCAATTATATTGAATTAAAAATTTTATCACTGAATCGATTTTGATAAAATTTCTGTGGTACCAATCTGTAAATATATCTGGTCAGACAAAAAAGACTTTTTCAATTCATTTTATAATTGACGGAGTTATGAGATAACTAACATTAAAAAAAAAAAAAACAGAATTGAGAACCTACATTTACTTTTTAAGTCGGTTGAAAACTATCCTATCTCTCAAGTTGCAGTAAACAACACACATTTACAAAATTACATTAAAATCGGCTGAACGCTTTCGGAGAAACATAATGACTCAATTTTTTTTATATACTAAGCTATTTAATAATATATATCATAGAATACATATCAAGAAACTTTTTTTTATTTATTTTTATTATTATTACGTATATTACGTAGAACTATCTTATATCTACTTGTCTCCTTTACATTTTATTGCCAACGTATTCATTACGTTGGCAATAAAATTAGCGAATATTTATTTGCATATAGAAATTGGAATAATTAACTAAAATAAGTAATGATTATCTTTTTGTACCTATTTATCAATTTTATTACTTTTTATAATATTATTATTATTGTTCCATGTCATTTTTAGGCGTAATATACGAGTATTAATCCAACCCTGTGACGGGAAAATTCTAGAATAAAATTAACAAATAACAAAAAATATTTTATATTTTATTTCACTTAATAATTTGCAACATACATTATATGTCTTAAAATTACCTTATAAAATAAATAATTATTTTTGGTTTTATTAGTGCCTTCTGTTTTTAATGTGTTCATAGACGTCATGCGCTGTACTCGCCGCACTGATTACTTTAAATCCTTTTCCCTGAAAAAAAAAAGCAACTGGTCGTTAATATTTTCAATAAGCCTTCATATAGCGCAATGTTTCATAATAGACTTATAAAGAAATATGAGTTTCAAATCCTATTGAATAATGTCCGATATTTTATTAAATTTCAATATAATTTGAATTAACATTTTTATAAGTTTTTTTTTTAACAAATAGATACTCACTATGGCCTTTCCTCCCTCCTTAATGGCATTAACATTGACTTTAGGCGCCGCTTCATTTGACCCTATAAAGAGGGCAATGATCGCCATAATTATGAAGAATATTCCTGTAAACTTCATTTCTACAATCTGTTATTTTACGATAACTAATAAAGATGTTACCCGTAGACAAAGCACTCAAAGACAATGAACTGACAAAAGAAAATCTAGTATATAAAGGCGTCAGGTTTATACGACTTATCTATACTGTAGATAATTCTTAGAATAACTAGTATTGGGATTCTCCACATTAATGTAAAATATATAATGTATAAGTTACCATTATAATTTAATTCGAAACATGGCATCAGAAGTACTAATTTATAATACACATTTTCCTGCTTAGCAAGAAATAAATAAAACTACGTTTGCTTGTATTATGCATCAAGTATATATACTAAGTATCCATCCTATAAACTTACTAAAATTACACAGGATAGCATCGAAATATATATATATATATATATATATATATATATATATATATATATCATATTAGATACTCAGTGATGACGACGAAATGATGATACTATTTTAATTTAATTCTAGACACATTGTGACCATTTAATTAATTGTGAAGTAGATTTTAATCAATGTATTATTAAGTATGTATTATTAAGTAAAGTAAGTATTTAAATATTTCTTATTAACTTAAAACTGAATAAAATTAATAATCTTTAGCAGCTTTATCAGTAGGAAGTAAGTGGATAGTAACTACCAGTGTTCTTATTCGTTAAGCTTATTCTTATTTAAGTCGTAGACATCATATTTTACGAATAATTAAAGATGTCTACGACACAACAACGAAGATAGAAATAATGACAATTAGGTCCGCCTTCCTAATTCGAAAGATTTCTTATTCTGTTTTTTTCTTGTCCATTTACATAAAATATGCTTTTCCTGTTTTTATTCAAAATTAAATTATAATCCCAAGTATACTAAGTAGTACTTATAAGTAAGTATTCAGAGTTTTTGAAGCGATGCCTGCGGCTTTCAGTTTGTACCTAACAGTGTCCTTGTCTTTTGTAACATCATGTTAGTGTGATTACAATTATTCTAGGCCGCCTTTTATATCACTTCTCATTAATATTTACTGTATTTATTATTTTTTAAATGGTTCAATATAGTGTAAATAAATTAATTATATATTTTACGCTTAGTTTTTGACGTTCTGCCGTAAGAGCATATCTGAAAGATTAACGACTACACTTAAATTTAATACTAATTTATCATATAATGCTTCGATTAGGCATAACACATATTTGCTTAATGTTCATATTAGCTTTAAGGCTTGCACATTACACGACAGGTTTTTTTTCGAAATGAAAATTAACGCACTTAAATACAGTTTATATTTGTAACATTGAGATAACACGAAGTATATAATTTATACCTAGGGTTATCTTAATGTCTCAATCAGATTACATCAGCCGTGGTCGCGAGGAAAAGGCATCTACTTTTTATAAGTAAGTATAACATGAGCTGACTAATGGAGCGATAACACGATTTTGTGCTCGAGGCAGAAGTACTATCTTCGAGACATTCATTATCATAATCATCTCTATCTGAGAATTTCTGCACACAATGCTGACCAAGTCTCTACATTGTACTGCAAACTACGACAAACTAAAGATTTCTACATTTCTGCTCTTTATTTCGCAATCCAGTGCTCGTAATAAAATTATAACAAAGTAATATAGTATTTTTCATATATTTATTAGGTACTTAATATTTAATTTAGTTTAGTATACTAATGGATTAACCTTCTAATAAAATCTTGGATTAACATAAAATAATAAGTAACAGACAGACAAATATGTAGGTTAATATTATAATCTATCAAATATAAAAAAATGAGTGAACATATAACTGATTATAGAATTATCAGTCACAATGTTAACATACATATTCCCATGAATTATCTCATAACATAAGCTCATAGCTGTGTGTGTGTGAGTGTCGTAACAGGCAAGTAAGGGAATGGTCGAGAGATGAGCAGAAGCGTCCCTCTTAAAACCCAAAGCCTGACTGCGGTTACCGACCCGCCTCCCAAGCGTGGCAATTACTGGCAAAACTTTCCAAGGGGGAGGCCTATATTCAGCAGTGGACAGTTAACAGCCAATGTGGTATGATTTCTCAAGAATCTGATGATACTATGTCACGACTTTACGACTTTAATCAACTAAGGGTTAGTTTGAAGCCAATAACAGCATATTCCTTTTTAAAAGGCGGGCAGCTGGTGTTGTGGGTGATCATGGGCGACGGTAATCACTTACCTCAGGTGAGGTTATAGTAAGTATACTCATACTTCAACGAGCACATTGTATATACGAGTATGTTAGAACACACTTGGATTAATTTGATATTTTATCCGTGTTTTTCTTCACGATAGAGTTAGTTATAAATTTAAATTGACACAAAGTTTTTGGTGTCGACCAGATTTTAACTGATAACCTTTACATAATTATATATATTTAATTTAAAATAATAGACAATTATTAATAAAATTATTGATATTGAATAATTTAGTACATGGACGAACACATAAAATTGCTTGTGTAGCAATTTGCTTAGCAAACTTTCTAGACAAGGAATTTGTGTTTAAATTTCCCTAGTGAAACCATGTATTCCTTATTATTTTACTATCAACTAGCGACGTTTATATATGTATATTAGCTTGTGTTCTTACAACTATCTAGTTATGCTGAGAAAGTAATTACCTACAGATGCAAAGCTTTAAACTTGTTATAATTTTATTTCCTTTTTGCTTACTATTATAAATTTTAAACTAGTAAATACGTTTCAATTACTTGTTACTGAATAACCATTAAACAGCTAAACCTCTTACTGCAGTTTGAATTCATTTGTACAATGTTTGATTTTCGAAAATGTTGACTATCTTTTTATTATATAGTTATACACAAGGGAGTCATCGGTAAAAAAAATTACTATAATGATTTTATTTTACATTAATTTGTGTCAAATGAAAGCACCAACCTATATTTTAAGTTAGGTAATATTATAATATTAAATTGTAATACAAAATACCTAAGCATAACTTAATTACAGGTATCATCATAGGTAAAACAATTCTATTCAAAATACAAAATAGCAATTGATTTGATATTAATCAGCAACTTCCAATTATATATACAGGAAAATAGCAATATAAACACTCAGATTATTGTTATTTTCAATATTATCATGCTTTGATTATCATGTCATTACAAATTCCAATACTGTGCAATTATACCACATACCTTGATACATTTGATTTTTTTTATTTGAATTGGACAAACCCATATTTACTTTAAGGTATTGTATATTGATGACTAGGGAAACAGGAAAACATAATTACTATTTAAACATGAATATCTTTGAGGAGAACATTCATTTTGACAACACAGCTCTGTACAATCGCAGTAGTCCTTAGTCTCAGTGAAACCTTCACTCCTTGCTATCAACCATGAAGCTGACCGGTTTATTCCTTATGATTATGGCAGTGGTCGCACTGTTTATAGGTGTTGGTCAAGCTGACCCTAAAGTGCCCGTTGGTGCCATCAAAAAGGGTGGTAAAGCTATAGTAAGTATATTGCTTCCCATTTGCTTAGTAAAATTCATACAACTATAGTCGGTTAGTTTAAAATATAGTCCCATCTACGCCTAATTACTAAGCACGGATCTCTCCCTATAAAATTGTATTACCATAATAATTGTGTGTTCTAATAATCATCTAGCTTCTGACTTAAATTTCCCCGGTGATGAAAAATATCGTCAACAAACCAAATTAATCCGAGGGGTAGCGCTAAGCTCCTTATATTGGAATTTAATATGCTCGGTGAAAAATAGGCATGGCGAGCATTAAGATCTTTAAAGTAATAGGACATTTTTTTTATGTGGGTGTGGTAGGTGCCGCAGGTACAGCGCACGAAGTATACAGCCACATCAGGAACAGGCACTAAATTCAAAGAGCAGAATATTAGTTGTGGAGTATTATTATTGGCTACGATATATATATATATATATATATATATATATATATATATATATATATATATATATATATATATATATATATATATAAGTTTTTTAAAACAAATTTCGGATTAATAAATATGATTTGTCATTATTTTCTTCTTTTTAATTTTACTTTAAAATTAGCAACTTATTTGTTGTTTTCTGTATAGTAAAGAGGCAAGAGTACAATTTGTGTACAACCACTTTTTCGTATTTTGGATATCCGAAAGATGACTAGAGATTTCAGTTTTTTCTTTTGTATGGGATAAAAATTGAATAATAATCACATCAATACTTTCAGTATGTGCTAGCGGGACACCCTTGAGTTATTACCAAAGTCTTTCTCAAATAGCTAGGATTGTTTCTCTACTACCAATACAAATACCGACATGATGTAAAAGGTCACAGTGGTTTTATATCTTATACTTAAACTCACCATTTCCTTTTCTAACAGTTACGCTAACTTACTAAAATTTAACTTTCTATATTTTTCTTTATTTTATATTCTATAACCATTGTAAAGAATCACAGTGGCAATAAGGGATTAATTATATCATTATTTCTGAATAATTATAAATATGTCCTTCTTTCCAGTAGCCTTACCTCTCTAAATGTTACCATATTCCAATATTTCAGTGAAAATTTTAATACTGAGCTCAGAGTTACTTTCATTTTAATGTTATATGTCACCTTAGTTAACCGTGTACTGAATGATACGAAAGTCCAAAATTTATTATTGTGATTAGATATTTTATTTTTTGAGAGAGTTTTGATTCCCACCAATAGTAGAGCTTAGTCGTCGAGAGTTCAAATCTGGCTGATATCACAACGTTCTGTATAAATTTAAATTTCCTAAGCACCCTCCAGCGATATAATTTAAAAGACGTCTTTCTCTAATTGCATTAAAATAAAATATATTAAAATTTGAGCATCTCAGTTGTCACTTGTCAACAAACCACACCGACAAACTTCTACAAATTTACCTCTGTATACAAATGAATTTCAATTAAAGAATAATGGCGAACCCCCATACAATTTTTATTATGTGATATTATTCCTTTTATTCATAAAAACTAAAACATCTTTAACAGATAAAATATGTAGGTTTGTAACCTACATATTTTATCTTTTAAAGTGTTTTGTCGCCGTTTTTCAAATTGCAAAATTAGTGCAAAAGGAAATAACAAAACACTTTAATAGCTAAAATAAGCTTATAATGGGTTTAACATTTTTATGAATGGGTAAATCTAATGAAAGATTGTAAAAAATAATGGTAATAAGTCCCGACAGTTTTCGGTTACAGCGACCACTTTGACTCCGCTATTATTAATTAATTGTCTGTTGTTGTTGGCGTTGGTGTGCTCGTATGTGGCATACATAGTCAATCTTTTTAATAAAAGTCCTTGCACATAGCGGACATGCAAGCATACGATCGCTGTTGTAATAATATTGCTGGTGGTCGAGTTTTTATTTCGTCTCTCTTTGCGTTCAGTTGAGAAAGACGTGACATTTAAAATTTTTTTATTTTGTTACCCCTCTCCATTCAAGCCGATTCTTAGCTTGTAGCTTTCATTGGGAAGGCTCTATTCATGTGCCGCTTCAATGAATCCTTGTACCTGAGGAGCTGCCCATCGTGCTTATGTCTGCCTTCCTCTAGTTCAAAGTAAAAGATACGCTTTGTAACATGCTGCTCGGCCATAAACGACGCGTGCCCACACCACCGAAGTTGCTGTCGCATAAGATACGACTCAATACGACCTTGGCCCTTCACAGAACTTCGGTATTCCGCACGCAATTAAATGATAAAAGTTAATGAAAATTATGTTAAAAGTATAGAATTATTAGAGAACAATTTCTTCTTAAGGTTTATTAAAGTAATTTAGATACTTCAGAATTACATTAATAATTATATTACCATTGTCCCTTAGTAGATACCTAGACAGATAATATAATAGATTTTTACTACGTATTATGAAATAAAGTCCCCTGCCGCATTTGTCTGTTTGTATATTTTTTTCGTGATGATCTCCAAAACTACTAAATGGATTTTCATGCGATTTTCTTTGCGGTTTTCAACAACAGGGTGATTTCTGAGGAAGGTATAACTATATTATACTAAGTTAAGGTTTTGTGTGAATTTATTGAAACATGGTGATGATTGTTGAAGATGTCGGAAAGCGTTAAGCTATCTGAGAGCAAAAAAGGCTACGGAATCCGTTTTATAAGTAACAAAACATTGTATAATGGGATTGTTTCCCTTTTTTGGATCTACGAAAAAGTTCGCGATGGCATATATTTATCTTTTAAGCATAGCTCACTACTCGTATTCCCATTATGATATTTGCAAAATTTGTTTAGTCGAATACAGAATTCACAGAAAATAAAATACAATAAAAATAATCCAAGTTGTGTGGTAATATATTACATTTAAATCTAATCTAATTTAATTTACCAGAGGGAGACTTTGTACAAAAGTCGATTGCTTGGGTACCTCTGTCCCATTCGTGTTTCAACCGTGAAGCAGTTGTGTTTGCATGGCTGTGTTTCGGTTTGAAGAGTGGGATATGGCGTGAATTTACTGGGTACAGAGGAATAACACCTGAGTCCTCAGGAATGGCAGCGCATGGGGGTTATCATGGGCGAAACAGTATACTCTGTTATGTCCATGGTACTGCTCATGTCTATAGGCGACGGTCACCACTTTCCATCAGGTGGGCCGTCAGCTTGTTTGCCATTCTAAGTTGTATAAAAAAAAAAAAAAAAAAAAAAAAAAAAAAAAAAAAAAAAAAAAAAAAAAAAAAAAAAATCTAATTCCTAATCGACGCTACTGCAAGGAACCTGCGCGAAGTCGAGCCAAGTCGCTAGTCTTAAATAAATAATGATGCTTCTTATTTTAATTTACGTGAACAAAACTAAGAGATGCAACTAGTAAATATAACAACAAATCTGTATAAATCACTGGTATATAGCATCTAAATACTTACTAAGAAATTTAATAAAATACTGACTTTACAATCAAAATGTGTGGATTCCAATATTAAAGGGAGATTCGTTTCTGAAGGATTATGACAATTTTAGATAGATACCTTGGCTTTCTGGACCAGTAGCGTAGCTAGGCGTAGGCGAAGTGGGCCCTCGCCCACAGGCCTCGCACTTAAAGAGGTCTCGCGAGGCCTCTTTAAATGCGATACCACCAAACTTAAAATCCCGATTTATTATAAAAATTAAATAAAAACTTAAAAAAAATATTTGGCACACTCGTCACTTTTCTTGTAAAATATTAAATCACTCAATTTAAAAAATAAAACCTTTGAAATCTATATATGTATATAAGTATGTATGTCGTATCGAAGTATGTTTGGTAAGATAGGTTTATTAGGTAGACTTTGGGAACGAAAACAAAGGGGCCTCGCTGGTGCGACTTTGCCCACCTCTATATTAGTCTGTCTACGCCACTGTTCTGGACCAATCGAGAATAGCTAAAATAACCACATGCATGAGAATGTGGTGCAGTGCAGTGTAGGTACAGTGCTCAATTGCGAAGGTAATAAAAATACAATAAATCCTGTGATATAACATTGTTATGTTGCTACTGTTAAATTACTTTCATAATTACAAAAATACAAAATGAGCACAAAGGAAATAAGTTTCTACAATTATTAATAATAGGTATTTTAATTTGCGCCGACAATGTCTTGTAACAAAAATTAACTGAGTACAATAATTATTATTTAACGGCCTTATGTAGCTAATATTTTATTCAGATTTCATTTTTTTATGTATATAAACTTGGAAATGTACCTACAATTTGAAATCCAGCAACATTATATACCTATTTTTGAAACTGAATATTTTTTCTTAAAAACATAGACCGAAGTATAGAAATATTTTTAAGAACATGGCTATAAGATATCCTTCCCAAAATTAGCATTTTGTAAAGCTTTTATACCCAAATTGATTCATATAAATCAAAAGATTATTATTTTAGCTGTCATTTATCTAACTATGAGAATTTTTATCTGATAATATCAGATAAAAATTCTCATAGATAAACTTTTATGGTTTAATATTAAAGGTGGGGTACATATTATAGCATTATCTATATTTTGTAGCTACAATATCTATACATTGGCCTAATAAGGAATTTATTAAATCTCAGTTATTCAATATATAATATCAAAATGAAGAACCGGATCGAAATGAACAGATAACCAACTGGTTTTCGGTTGGGTTTTTACCGCCATCAATGTACAGTGTAAGCCACTATATAAATATTGGAATGATACCGATATTACCTAATCCTTTTTAATATATATACATATATATATATATATATATATATATATATATATATATATATATAGAATAAACCACCCCTTTCTCTTCCGTAAATGTCGTAAGAGGCGACTTAAGGAGGGCATGAGATGGGCGATGGATACGTCCGTCTTAAAACATCTCCAAAGCCTATCTGCAATTGCCAATCCGTGGGTGGCAATGACAGTATATATACTCGTACAGCCGAAATCGCTAAATTATTTTTTATAACCAACTTATAATGGCAAACAATCTAACGACCCATCTGATGGAATATGTTAACCGTCACGACATGAACAATATCATGCACATAACAGATTATACTATGTCGCCCATCATACCCCCATCATACACTGCCATTCCTAAGGACTAAGGTGTTATGCCTCTAAACTCTGTAATTTTATTGCCATATCTTACACTTCAAACTGAAACAAAGTCATGCAAACATATCTGCTTCTAAGCAGAAACGAATGGGATAGAGGTAGCCAAGCATATAACTTTTATACAAAGTCTCGCTCTGGTAAATTTAGAATTTAAAAATTTTGCGGATAGGTTTTTCTTTACATAGCATAGGTAAACAACAAGAAAAAAGTTTGAGAAATCAACACCGAAGGGAGTAAAAGTTCCAAATTCCACGCGTACGAAGTTCTGGGCAAAAACTAGTATCAGATAAAAATTCTGTATAGTTACGAAACATGTAAGCATACACAGCCACTGCGTACCGATACACCTGTGACACACATGAAATATCGCAACAAAATTACAAATAAAATCACGTATTCGCCCCTAACGCAGCGT